TAATTGTTTTTACGGTAATGACACCTACATATATAATACATATATATATACACACACACACACATACATAATGTAAAATTAGATGTAAACATCTTATGTTTTTAGCTGTTAGATTATAAGGTGGCTATCACTATGATCCTAAATATGTTTATATTCATTTTCTTATATCATCATAAAAGTAAAAACACAAATGTTTAATATAAATTTATTTAACTGCTTCAGAATGCTAAGCAGAAAGCTCTGCAATGAACCAGTCCTTGATAGAGAAAATTTCCCTGGGCCTGAGAATATATCTGGGGACTTCCAGCCTCAATCCCATGCCCACTCATGTGTCTGGGAGGCAGTACAGTTTGGTGGTGAAGAGTAGGGGATCTGGGATCAGACTCCTGGGTTTGAACCCCAGCCCAACTGCTTACTAGCTATGTAAACATGAGCAGGTAACTTAACCCTCTGTAGTTTAGTTCCCTCATCTGTAAAATGGACATAACAGTAGTTTTTACTTCATTAAGCTGTTATGAGGATTACATGAGATACGTATGTAAAGCACTTAGAGATTGTCTGGCACATATTTGTTGCTGTTGTTGCTGTTAGTTGCCATAGAGTCGGCTCCGACTCATAGAGACCCTACGTATAACGGAACAAAATATTACCCAGTCTTGCACCATCTTCGTGATAGTGGCTTCCAACCTATGTGGCTCATTTTCCAGCACTATACTGGACAATATTCTGTTGTGATCCACAGGGTTTTCACTGGCTAATTTTTTGGACATAGAATTCCAGGCCTTTCTTCCTAGTTTGTCTTAGTCTAGAAGCTCCACTAAAACCTCTCCACCATGGGTGACCCTGCTGGTATTTGAAATACTGGTGGCATAGCTTCCAGCATTACAACAACACACAAGCCACCACAGTAGAAGAAACTGACAGATGGTTGGGGGGGGTACATATTTAGCCCTCCATAAATGCTAACTGTTGTCCTATTATTATCATTATCATATGATCATTACTCTGAGCAGTCAAACAATGTCCACTGCAAATGTGTGCATATACATGCATTGAGATATAAATAAATAAACAATGTGTGTGTGCTTTTAAAAGGAAAATTACGTGAAAATGTAAGTCTTATGTGTTTTGTGAGATCTTTACCCTTTGACAGACTTATGATACTCTCAAAGTGATAACTTGGGTCCTTGGAGCCAAACCTATGAGTACACATGTGCCTAAAGAAGGCCCAAACAGAAGACTCCCTTCTGCTCTCAGTTATGACCCAGGAAGAAAACAGGGACTCAGTGGCATTTCAAACATTTTAAATAGCAGAATCCTGTTTTCAAATCATATCTTCTGCAAAAGCTCAATATGTAATACAGACAAAAGTGATAATTTATTAGTACAAATTTATGTTACAACTTCAAAAGTTTATTTGATAGCAAACCAATTGTTGAGAACAATGGGGCTATTCTGGTAAAGACAAAAACTTTAAACCTGGGGTTAAAGATGACAGATACTTTCTTATATTATCCCCAACATCCACCATACTTAAATTAACAGCTGCTCAAGGGGGCCTAGAGTCCACAGAAAATGTTTTAAAAGCATTATTAAGTGCTGAGATATTTCAGGATGGAGTGTCTGCAAGTAATTCTCAAAAAGTTCCACCAAAAATACATATGCATACTGTGTGTGTATGTATATTATAGTTGTGTGTATGTATACATGTATGTGCATATATATTTACACCCACATACACACACACACACACACAGTGTAAATGTAACAAAATGTTAATAATTGGTAGATGTGGGTGAAGAGTATGAGTGTGCATTATTCTATTCTTTCAATATTTCTGCAGGTTTGAAATTTTTCAAAATAGCTAATTAAGGTATACTGCTACATTGGGAAGAAAAATGTTGTAAGAGACTTCTACCTACAATAGCAGCCCTATTTGCCACACACTGCAGCCAAAAGGCCCATGCAAATGTTGGGCAGCCTGGAAGAGTTTTGAAGACATACAGGAACAATCCTACTTCAGACAAGACTAGGTTCAAACACTGACTCTGATACTTAGGAGCTATAGGATCTTGAGCAAGCTACTTGGCCTCTCTGAGTCTCAATTCCCCATTTTACTGACAAGGATGGAAGAGATGAAGGCGGGTAATAAAGACAATACCCCTTCTAAGATTAAGACAGAGGTCTCCAGGCTGTGAAAAATTCCACTGCCTCAAGCAGCTTGCTCAACAAGCCCTGTAGCTTTACATTAACATCCTGGCTCCTCTTTCATTAACTACTGCCCAGAACTAGAGAAAATCAGTGGAAACCAGTTTAGGTGCCATGTTGACATTCTGGGTAACCTTTTAGCTCATTAAATATCTCATACATAGTAACTTCCCTGCCTCTGGGTGGAGTTAAACTGCCATTTTCTGAACATGTGATGCATGAAGTTATACGTAAACCCCATTGCGCCTGTGTAGTATGATTAAGAATGTTGCTGACGTAACTTGTATGAACTTCCTGCTTGTAAACCCCATAAAAGTAACTGTCACCCTCGCTGAGCAGTCTTGGTGGCGGCAGCCTCGACTGCTCCTTTCCTTGCACAATGAAGTAAAAGCACATTTCTGATTTCCCACCTCGGCCTCTCCTCTATTGGCTGAGATGAGCTGCACCTAGCACTCTGGGGTTTCCACCCAGCAACAGAGTTGTTGTGGAGCCCTGGTGGTGCAGTGTTAAAAGCTTGGCTGCTAACGAAAAGGTTGGCAGTTCAAATCCAACAGCTGCTCCTTGGAAACCCATGAGGGCAGTTCTACTCTGTCCTGTAGGGTTGCTGTGAATCGGAATTGACTCGACAGCAACAAGTTTGGTGTTTTTTTGTTTTTTTTTTAGAGTTGTTGTAAGATTAGATGTAATGCATGAGACCAGTTATCGCTATTGCTATTGTAATAATTGTTATTACCCTAGATAAAACCAAACGGTTTGCCATACTGTATGCATGTCTAGTGCCCCCTCTGGAGACCAGGCCAAGTTAGAGAAAAGCAATGGATCAATCACAGGGTTGGCTGGCAGAGGTAGTTGTGTACATGGGAATTCAGGTTTGAGGAAGGAGACCAATTCCAACAACTTAACTTCTATCTGAAGAGGTATTTGGAGAAAGGTGAGATGGGATTAATATCTAATCTCTCAGGAAGGCCAGGCAAACAATGGAGGCAAGGAGGAGCATTTACATATATAAGGGGGAACACTTTACCCCCACAAGTGCTATAGGCTAAAAGAGCTTGTTTTCACTAATTCAGATAATTTAGGATATTAATCTGTGAGGCTGACATAGGTCAAGGACACAATTTTTCCCACCCAACTCAGTCTTTATTTCCACATTCAAAGGCAGACTATGTCACCTAGCGGAGGGAAAAGACTTGAGAGTCAGAGAGACTAGCTCTAATCTCATGTCTGCTTCTTAACAGTTGTGTATCATTGGACAAGCTCCTCAAATCTTTCTGAGTCCCCCTACCCTGCACAGTGTTGTAGTGTACAGATTACATTCATTAACATAGGTGAGGGTCTTATCTCTGCCCCTTCTCCTTCTCATGCCCACCACTGCCCTCCCACAGACATATGTACGTACACACTCAGCATCTCACCTGGGCCTTTCAGAGCAGTAAATAGACTGCACTACAGATATCAGTAAGGGTTTGTTTTCCATGCCCCTCCCCCGCAAGTGATCCTTCTCAGACAGCAAGGAGCCATAGGATGTCTTTGCCACACCCATCCCCTCCTTTTCTCCACAGCTGCTTGGAGAAGTTGGCAAGGGGCAGCCTTGTGGAATAGATGAGTGAGGAGTGCTCCAGAGTGAGGAAGTGAGAGCAGCAGCTCTGTATCTTGCTATCCTCATGGCCTCTTAATTGGAACTATGGGCTTGTGGAGTGCTGAGCCTTGTGCTAGACACAGGCTAGGAAGTTGGAACCATTGGAAATTTTGTGTTAGAGTGTCTCAGTGGTGCAAATGGTTAACCCACTGGGCTGCTAATGAGAGATTTGAGTTTCAAGTCCACCCAGAGGTGCTTTGGAAGAAAGGTCTAGCAATCTACTTCAGAAAAATCAGTCATTGAAAACCCTATGTAGCACAGTTCTACCCTGACACATATGGAGTCACCAGGAGTTGGAGTTGACTTGACTGCAACTAGTTTGGTTTTTGGTTTTAGAATGTGGCCTGGGTGGTGGGCAGGACAGTGGACAGAGGGTGCAAATGCCAGGTGGGATAGACCAATGGGGGGAAGTGACACTGGTGGTACCCAAAAACGCAAGCAGGGAGGCGGGCAGAGAGGTCTTTCTGAGTGAGGGACGTGAGTCCAGTGGAGATAAACATCTCCCAAAAGAAGGCTTTGGGGCAGAGAAGTATGTTCTGGAGATTTCCCAAATATCCAGGTTACAAGCAGCCTGAGGCATTCATGCCAGTCCCCTAAGCTTATTTCTGCCCTCTCCTATGTTTTACTGACATCAAGGACATCATACATGAGGAAAGCATGAG